TTACATTTCCTTTGTGATCCTCATCGAATGACCTTCATGAATCTCATTTCAATAAGATGAATGTTATGTAATGTGGTTGCTGTAATATGATAATTTAGTCCATGTTGCATACACCTTTTACAAGTATAAATAATATTATGACATATATTTATATACATACATAGCTTCATAACTATAGTCATAAGTATACATATATGTTAGTCAGAGACATTGTTAACTTCCTCCGGAATAAATCTTAATGTTATACCACTACTATACAAGGTTACAAAACTGTCATAAATGTATGTATTGGTTTTTGGAATGGTGCACGTCTGCGCTAACAGTTTACGCTAGCGGAGCACCAGTGGAGTATGATAGGATGTCATGTTCATCCTATCATACTCCACTGGTGCTCCGTCAGTTCAATTAACCTATCATGGTAAATTGACAATGGTTTTCAGGAGGAACCATGTGAAACTCAACCTTATATGGTACATTGCTAGTAATAATAATAATGCTAATGGGTATATTAATACACATTACTATGATCACCTTCCTAATTAAAAATAAATCAAGACTCAAAACTTGGAGTAAACATACATATGGTTAGACATAATATACACTTTAAAAAAACAGATTAAAAATAAAAAAAAAACATCTAAATAACGAAATCAACTCAAAATATGCAAATTTTGAAAATCGTGTTTAATTTTTTTGCTGTATTGCGAGTAGTTTAATATCAGATACGTGCTACCTACCACGATATCAGGTGTGACAATGACTACCCGTGACCGTCAACACGTACGGTCAGTGGGCAGCGAGCCCGTGACACAAACGTGTGACCCCGAATTTATAACATGCACATTTGCATTATTTTTCAAGTTCACTGACTTTGCTGTTAGTATAATCTTCATTATATAATCGTAACTCAAAATATATAATCCTTACTAATATCATAGATAACATAATATTACATACTAATATTATAAATGCGAAACTTCACTCGCTTTCACGGCAACACTACTGAACGGATTAAAATTAAATTTAGTAAACGTATAGTCGAAACCTTGAGAAAGGACATAGGCGACTTTTTATTGCGGAAAAAGGGGTTGAAAGGGGAGATAAAAGGTTTGTATAGAAGTATCGTCATTTTTAAAGCTAGAATCTTGAAACTTATTCAAAGTTTGGAAAATTATATAGTGGGTAAAATAAAATAAGGGATGAAAGTTTGTATGGTAATTCGTTATTTTTGAAGCTAGGCAGAATATTTATTTTCTTTTGCATTTGTGTTAGATTATTGTATAGTTTTTCTTTCGTTCGTGTCACTATAACAAGCGGACGAAATCGCGGGCACAGGTAGTATGTATATATATAACTTCATTATATAACTTCATTATCTTATATCCAGGTATTATATGTAACTTATTACTTAGCAACAATCTTATGATTATTAATACAGATTCGTAATCAGTAGTTAACTTAATTCATTAGTAGTGGATATGGTGTATAAAATATTTCCTGTTGTACCTACTACAATGCAGTTTCCAGACGATAAACTCCCAATTTAGAGTCCATTAAAGATCAAGATAAATATATAATATAGCTCAAGTGTACAGTGAATGTGAAAGAGGATGTATATTCTTGTATTATATATAAATAATCTCCATAAAGAAATGTTCCATGTGATCAAACCAAAAAATCCGTTGCGTGATTTAGAAGGAAAAGGAAAAACTTAAAGACCAATACAATGAATTTTTTATACTATTTATAGATAGTAAAACATATACCAAATTTGAATATCTTAAACATCTTTTAGGTATATAACCTAAAAAATGTTTAAGATATTCTACCCACATAAAATAGCTTTCTTATGTATTTTAAAACTACTACTATGCTAATAAATAACACGTTATCGTACCGGTAAGGATTATTATTAGAAAGACTCGTGATCGTTTGCACCTACCTCAATCGCAACTCTTAACAAAGATATGTTACTCTAAGCAAAGCCTAACTTAAAAGCATGATTGGCATTGCAAGCAATAGCATATATTTTGTTAGTTCAAGATTTACAATACATACTTATAAGTTCCTGTCAATACAAAGGCGATCGAAATTACAATGATCAGAGCCGAAATTCGAACCCTGAGACAACAGCAATACCTGTCGGTTAGGAGTTCAGCTGCTCTATAAATACTTACGCGGGTTTACAGCGCTACGATTATTGTCCAATGAGTATATAAAGATCAGCAGCGGTCAAAAATATTAGAACAGTTCTAAAAAAATAAATATTATTTCCATATGGGCTGAGTTATGATTTTGAATAAATCTCAAGCATATGCAGTGATGGATTGGCTATAAAGTGCACATAAACTATTATTGCATTTACGATTTATCTAAGTCTCTATGTATAGAATGCCAGTTAAAATCTGTTAAGCGATTGCAATGATCTCAGTCTGTGGCAATTTTGTCGCTGCTGTTGTGAAGTAAAACATATCCTACACATTGTATGTTATTAGTTATATAACTAGTAACCTTAACGTAATGAGTAAGAATTCTACATGTGTTGGTTAAACTAGGTAACCTGTGCTGATGAGGAAATATAACAGTCTTTCTGTTACCCGCGACTTCGCGTAATGTTTTTAGATAAAAATGCAGACGAAGTCCGTCCTAATGATACAGTCTATCTACATGCAATATTTCTTTAAGATCTGTTCTGTCGTTTGTCGATTTTAACATTACACGCAAACACACATACAGATAGAAGCACTTTCAGATTTATAGTATTAATATAAATGATTCCTGTTACTGCATCTCTCCAAGCAAAATAAATCCTGCTAATTTTAAGATGTAGGTTTATTTGTTTGCAAGTACCATGCTACTGCTTAGCATATACATTACAAAGATAGTCAAAATTTGGTTCGTGTAATTGAAAGATTGGGAATTTAAATAATAAAAATACTAACTCACAAGTTTCTACGATGAGGGAAATAAAATTATGTGCAATGAAGTCTAACTGGAAGCTTTATAATAGTAAAATTCTATTAATATATCCGGATAATCATATCATTTAACAATAAACTAGTCTCATCATTGACATTTATCGACGTAATATTCAAATTTTTATTATAAAATACGTAATTTGAAAATAAAAAATATAATTGAGAAACTTGTTTAAAAATTACTATTCATTGGGCATAAAATTATTCCGCAGTTTTCCGCAAAAAATATTTATCACTAAACTTGGTTTTAACGAATGCGATCATAATTTTATCATTCCGATTAAGTTTTAAATGAGAGAACCTAAAAGAATAAAAATCTAATTAACATATTTTAAGCAACACAATGGTTTTTAACACATTATTATCTCTAATTATTTACGTGCGTCTATTAACACATAAAAACCTGAGAGAATACACATATATGAATGCGTGTCATTCACTTGTTACTTGTGTATTTGGATACATTGACCTAAGTGTATAATAAAAGCTTGTTTACACGAACCACGATGAGATTTTCTTTCTACGTAATTTTATATAAATCGTCGAGTGTAATAGCTGTTTTGCTTTAAGGGTATAATATTTATTTTATTCATTTATTAAAACTTTAATACACAAATACATAAATAATTGTGCACATGGGGGACTTAACGCCTATAATATTCAATAAAGTATAATAGAACTCGAAGAAGTATTGAATAGGTTCAGTTAAAATGTGCAAAGGTACAGACACGTATAGAATTTAAAAAAAGTTACACGTACAGTTCACTTGTATATATGTATAATTGTAATAAAAATTTAAAAATACATTATGAACCCCTGTGGTATTCATAAGTCGAAATGCCGTACTTTGTAATGTGTCTCCAAACCGGAATGCAGCTCGGGAAACTGAGCACCAAAATAAGTCTAAGATCTGAGGTCAAAATCCTAAGAAACAGGACTTAAGCAGACAACTTTGTACAAAGTCTGCCTCTGTTAAATTTATTATTAAGCAACTTATACATGTGAAATCACGATTCTAGTTTGCAAAATAGAAAATATATCCGCTATACAAATTAACACTCTGTTGTAAGTGGAGTATGTTGCAAAATTTAAATAGATACCTATAGAATGAATGCCATATGTACATTAGGACTTTGTACCGACTAGACTACCAAAAAATCTGACAAAATTAAACGTTTCATCCATTCTTTGTAGTTCTAGTTTCTTTCATTTTATTCATATTGGTTTTATAGAGTGAGTCTGTTTAAAGTCGTTTACGTAGGTACTTCAGTCTTATTTCTGTGCTGCTTTGTAATTGGGTGCAGATTAAGCAGTGAAATTACAAAATAAAAGGCATAGCATCTTAGTTCTCTGGAATAGCAATACATGAGTGGTATCACGTGTGTTACATGAAAACGTGATATCCGTAGAACTGATAATATTGTGTAGGCGTCGAATACAGCTATCATCAAATGGGCCGTCTGTCTTTTGGTATTGCAATTACATATTTTTTATTTATTTGTCATTCCGATTGTTTTACTGATAGGTACGTCGGATCATTTTGTAATACAAAATGAACTTATGTACAACATTGCCATAAATTTTATTTGTAATATATAGAATTACATAACAAATTTAGAATTTCGTCAGTAGAGCGGTACATACACTATTATTATGTAAAGTCGTAGTAGTATTAGTACCTGCATAGTATTTTGTCACAAAACTATTACAAAAAGTAACATACTTTTAGTGTGCTTACACATGACCATGTGAGACATACATCGAAGTAATATAACGTGTTATGTCAACGGATTAAACTAGATTACGTTAACCTTTTACTGATCAAAACGTCATCATTACCGGTTTCCGACCTAGTATGGAAATCGATTGGATTTCCCAATTGGAACCTCCTACATTGGAATAAATCATCCCGCTATACGGTGAGACAACAATAATATCATAATATCAATAAGGAAGGCTTTATGACTGGAGGGGGCACCTACTTTGCAGGACGTAATCTCAAACGGAGCGCAGTGGGTTTTCTGAAGGCTGTGGCACGAGCCGCATGCCAACATCGCGCCTGACCTCGTACGACCCTATTAATACAAGATACATCGACAACAGGACACAGTATCATTGATAATCCCAATCATGAAGATCCTCTGTTCACTTGTGCTGTTCACGGTCGTTATCAGAAATGTGCTGCCTGCTCCGGCTGCTGGATTTGTGTTTCCGGATGATACGAGACGACAAAAGAAATTGGAGCCTATTACACCACCAGTACTTCCTATTTTGGAGCATTTAGAAAGGGATCCGAGTACATTATTACCAAATGAAAGGACACGATCGGCGTCCAGTGGCGTCCAGCCGAAATTTGGATTTGGCGGCGGCTTCAATGTAGGTCCTTCACAAAATGGGGGACTTTCTGCAAGCATAAGCAGTAGTGCCGGTGGACCTATTGCAAGTCATTCGGCTTCCCATTCGTTCTCGTTCGGCTTCAATGAAGGATTCGGTGCGTCTCAATCAGCGAGTCAGTCGTCATCATTCGGATTTGGAAGGTACGTTTGCACGAATGACTTGTTATAATAGTAGAGAGATGTGTCATGCTTATTTATTAGTAATTTAGATGTATTGACGAAGCAATAAAAATAATGTATTATTTATTAATATCAAGATGTTCATACAACTATTCGTGTGACTGTATATTGATTGGTCGAGGTAAAAAGTAGGTAATGTTCTCAATCCTACCAAACATTACGTGTATTTTAACACTATACTTTTAGGGCGCCAAGAAAACAAAAGAAGGTTTGCAAAAAAACAATAATAGAATTAAGGTAACATAGTGTTAGAACGAATAGAAATTGAGGTTAATAGGACCAAGATAAAACCTTACGTCCAATAGTCCTGGGTTCGATTGCTCCATGGATATCGGTCTGGGTGATTTCTTTGTATTTACAAAAAAAGTGTATTTTAGTATTTCTATCACTTGCTTAGGGGTACTTAACAATATGGGGACTAGATGGTATTGTGTCAATTATACAAGGTTATTATTATTATTTAAACATATATATTTCATATTTTATTTATGTGAGAGAAATGGTATATATACCTAATTCAGTTTATAGATATAATAATGATTAATATTTGACATGAGTACATTATATACAAATAGTAATGTATATTAATAAATATTCATGATTCTAATTGTTATTTGTTGTCATAAAATAAATATATAAAAATCATATTAACTATATACAATATTTACGAAATTATATGGAAATCAGAACGGAACTAATTCGTGATTAAAGTGGTTTTAATCTATAATATAATTATTATTTAAGTACAATCATAAAACGATCCGATTTTGAAAATTATGTTAGTTTGATAGCATATTCATATAGGAAAGCTATTAGCTATATAACATGATATATGTTAGGTTTCTACCAACAGGAGTAGAGCTGCAATGAAAAATACTGCAAAAACACACGATACGATCAACTTTCGCGGGTTTGATAGGATATTATGTGATGTATTATATAAGGTGTTAAGTTCAGGGTAATTTGATATCCAGAGGAGTGGAGGAGAGTGTTATTAATGGATACTAGGGACCCATTGCTAGCAATGTACTAACAATACCAAACATGTAATCTACACACGGACATTCTGAAAATTATAGTACCTGGATGATCATCTACACCGTAAATTACAATTGATAGCTTTTTTGGTAAAAAAAAAAATAAATATAGTTCGAATTTGAACTCGTGACTTTAGGTCAAAGTCGGCGTAGAGAACTACCATACCATGACGCTTCTGTAGGTATCGTAATAACAAAATACGAGTTTGCACATAACTACAAAAAAAAATAACAAAAACTTTGTCACATAACGATCGTCATTATCGTATTAAATCTTCCGGTATCTTAAGTAAGTACTTTTTAAAACCACTCACGTTACCTTACATTTTAGTTACTTGCACGCGGTATCACGATGTTTTAATATTAACTTTTTATATTACTACTCTTATTGCCCTCAATTTGCGAGTAACATAATTATGTGAAAATAGACTAAAAGTGTGATGTATGAGCCACAATTTCTGAAACGTCATATAAATCTGTCTCTAAAAAAATGTGGTTACTTCAAATGTTATCTCTATCGACGACCTCGGTGGTCTATCGGTTTAGCACACTGCCATACTTCCAATGGTCGCAGGTTCGATTCCTTGCACGGCACAAGCACTTGTATTCATAAATATGATTGTTTGTATCGGTCTGGTCTGGTCTCGGTGGTTTCTATGTACATTATCTATGTATTTGAATTAGGTATCTAGTACCAATAACACAAGCTTGGGTCTAGATGGCGCTATGTGAATTGCCCTGAGATGATTATTATTATATCTCTATCTATACCAAATGACACCCGGTATTTAGTTTATTATATCATCGCAACTGAACTCAAAACAGAGATTTTAGAAGGTTTGTTTGTTTGCCTGTACGATTGTAAAAGTTATGACCGATTGTAAAAGTTATGACCTACTGTTGTGCTGAACATACACTGGTATAGCTACACACGGCTATCGACTTGTATTTAATAAGCATTGTTGTTAAAACAATGTACTATAGAAAAATATGTCGTAGCTGTTATTTATAAATTAATTAAATCTTGTGACGCATTTACAAGTTTTAATAAAGTATAAATAAGCCTGTTTATGGAATATTGTAATTATACGCGTACATTGGTCCGCTCTTTCGTAAATTCACAAATAATTGCATAGTACCTACAGACATAAGGAAGAGCTTTAAAATTATATTAATAAAAAAATGTAAACGATTATTAAGTGGGTTTTCCGATAACTAAATATAGCGAATAAACTAATATTTAATAACGCTTCGAAATAACTAGCTTTTTGTTATGGACACATTTGTCAGTTTATGTTTATATTTCTTCTATTCTAAATGTTATGCGACTTCTTTACACTAACTTTCATCACTTATTTCAGCCCCTTTAGATTATGTTTCCAGACTAAAGATGGTATTGATATATTTTACTATTATACATATATTTATTAATAAAAAAATCTAATATTGAAATATTTTTAACCACGAGTTGCAATTTAATATAACTAATTTAATGTACATAAAGCAATCTTAGTTTTTATTGTTAGTTGCAAAAAAAATGTTTTAAAGCTATTGACTCCAATTCACTATTTAAGATATCTTTATCTCACTATTTTCTTCAGCTTCAGTGGGAGTCAGGCTAGTAGTCAAGCGGCATCGTTCCAAGGTCCAGGCGGCTCGGTATCAGGGGCTGCATCGTCAGCCTCATCTGTAGCTGGAGGTTTCAACTCAGGATCTGGTAGTCAAAGTGCATCATCGGCATTCGGGTTTAACTCGCTTGGTGGATTTGGACAGCCGGATGATGTGAGTACAATATTTTTTATAAAAACAAAATACCTTTAAGTATATAGCAGTATATTCGCAATTAAATCAATTGAAACGAAAATATGTCAAACTACATTTATTAAAGTAAATCTATTACTGACAGACAGGTAAGTAAAATCTGTAAGTAAGAAGTTAGAGGTTCAAATTCTTAACGTAATGTGAAGTGAAACCAAATGAACGGGATAAAGTTAGATAGAATTCAATTATTATCCTGGATTGATACTATATTATCATGATTTAATAAATATTGTAAAATATTCTAATCTTAAAAAAAATACTTTCCTTAGTGGATGAACTTTAGGAATTTGTATGACTAACGTCCCCATTGCCGTCAAAATTTGATGTTATAATGATGATGATGAATGACAAGATGTTATAAGTATATAAAACATATTCCGTACCAATATAGAAATGTGTGTTAATATTGTTATTTAGTCTTGTAAGACGAGGACAATATTTATAATTTAAACGTTATATATTCGTAATATTCCTTATTATTCTCTAAAACATAATGATAATCAGACAGGGAAGTTGAATTTTGCATTAGGTTATACTTATGAGTATCATTTATGGCATACTTGGTTCGTATCTCATTTGAACGATGACATTGCGTTGAATATGTTCTGATTAAAAAGAAATATATAATAAATTTCCAGCAAATCTTTTAAAAAAAAATTGTGTGTTTGCAAACAAGCTGACGGCCCATCTGATGGTAAATGGTAACCGTCACTCTAAGTACTCGCACTCGAACAACACTACGGACACCACTACTCGAAGAACGCTACTCGGTGGTGTGGCACACCACCGAGTAGCGTTCTAGTAGAGCACCGCTTTACTTCCGATGGTCACTGATTCGATTCCTCGCACGGTGCAAACATTTGTATTCATGAGTATATATATGATTGTCGGTCTGAGTGTATTCTATTTATATTATGTATATGTATTTACAAAAAAAATATCTAAGTATTTATATCAGTTGTCAAGTACCCATGACACAGGCTTACTGCGGGACTGTAATTTTTGTACCTAATCTACAAATTACAACCGAAACGCATTTTACAAAGCAAGCAGCTTGGCAGCCAAAGTTCCCAAGTAGTCGTTTTTTTACAGTCTATCTCTGGTAAATAATATTTTTTTTTATTGTTGGTTATTTGTTTTCAGACGAATTTCAACGACGCTGTACTTGACATCAGACATCGAGGGGTCCCCAATTTCCCAATTCCGGAAATATTCAGAAAGGCCGGTGGCGTTGGTGCAGCCTCTTTCAGAAAAGTGGGACCCACAACGAGGAATGGAAACGATTTTATATCGGTTTTCGTGGCCAATTAGAAAGCAATGAATGTGTTGTTTATGTTGACTCAGCAGAAATACTCAACGTAGAAAATGAAAACTGTTTATAATATACATTTCTGATAAATGTATTTATTCGCAGTATCATAATGTAATATAAATAATTATATGCCCAAACATGACAAAGAAATTTATAACAGAACTAGTGAAGTCATTCATTGGTACCATGTATAAAAAAAATATGAATTTAATTTGCCGTGCATAGATTTACTTTTACAATACATTTTCTTCGCTGTTGAAGTTTCAAGCGGGATTTTTCATCTATTATAACATGTCTTCGCGGAGGTTTTACAGAACTACTTGTATTATTGTTTACTTTTTTATTTTTCTAAAATGACTCTATATAGTAGCATTGTATCACTGTGATTTACTAATGAACATATAAGTACGTTGAGGTAACGTAATTATATGGTCAACTTACTCTTAAATATAAAAAAATTTAGGTAGTGAAGTGATTAATAAAAACATATTCCGCTAAACTTCAAAAAGGACGAATTAATTGATCGCAATAGAAAGAGTTTGTTGACTAGTCTCATAATATTATTATTTAATGTTAGTTTTTTACAGTACTTTCATACATGTGTATTTTCAAACTATTAGGAATCTATTCGTATTTCTTAATTTATTCATTATGCTATTTATATGTAACTGAATTTAATTATTATTTACAACTAAAAATATAAAATTGCCTCGGGATATGTGGATAAAGTGGACTTAGCCTCTCAAGTGAGCCATTGGTGAATTGCCTATAGGTTTTAGACATAAGATTACAAAAATCTGTATTATATTATATAGTTTTTTTAGTTTAATCTAATTATGATATCTGTCTGAACCGACCTCAATAATATAAAAATCAATATATATATATATCGATTTATTATGTATCGTACAAAATATTGTATATAGTAAACATCTTGAGTATGTTTATGGTTTCACATATACATAAGTAGATAGCAAATATACATATATAAAGACAACACCAGAAGTTTTCAATCCAAAACATCTGGATTAGAATTTTATTATTTATTAAATAATTAATAAGGTACTTTAGATTAAGGATGTTATTTATTAATGTAAAATAAATCTACAGAATACCAAATCCTAATATAACTTTATATTGACTTTTAATCGCAATCTTAGTGCAGAACCCATATTATTTCCATAATTCCCATAGAAACAGCTTACAGCTTCTACCATAGTTATCTGTATTGTAGGTAAAAAAACCTACAGTTGTCTGTATTGTAAAATATAAAAGAAATAATATTTAAAATTATATACCAGCGAAAACTCCCTACAATCTTCTAAAAGATCTTGACCTGCAGTAAATTCTATACCAGAACGTATATCTAAAGCTGCACTAGCAGGCTCCTATCAAATTTGACTGAGCAGATTGAGACACACGAGCGGTGATGGTAAGTGTTGACGTACATCGGCAAGGGACACCATAAACATACAACCGGGGCTCAAGTGCGGGAACTTCTCCGAGTTTTCTCTCTACCACATACTGAATCGGCTCTGACACGGTGAAACCATGGAATGCCAAGAAGTTTGTCTCTTTAAATTCTACTGATTTTAAAGTCACAATTGAAAGTCCTGTTTTGGCCATAATATGCGGTATTCATAGGGAGAATGTAAATTAAATTGATTATACAATATATATAGTTATAGACATATATCTACATATAAAATATATAAAAAAGAAATTAAATACGTAATTTAAGATCTCCTTCCAGAAAAACTATCTAAGCAAATAATTGCAGATCATTTGATTATTGTCTATAAAATTGTTAGGCGTTATGAGGAAATGCCGCTCGTTCATACCTATTAAGCTTAGTAGTTGGTCAATCATTGTAGTCATGAATCCTATTTGCGATTTTTTACTAAATCTACATATAATATTATACTAGCAACCTCATCTGGCTTTGTATTTGGCATGTATTTCAATTAACTTACACAAATCCTTAATGAATAAAAAAGTCATCAAAAACCTTCCTCAAAAATTACCCAGTCAATCTCAAAAAATTGTCGCGAATATACAAACATAGGCTGTCTATTGTAATATATACAGATATAAACAGTGACCTCATCAAATTTTGAATCAATTTTTTTTGGACAATTCACACAGCGCCATCTAGACCCAAGTTAAGCTAGCTAAAGCTTGTGTTATGGGTCCTAGACAACTGATACAAATACATAGATAGTTTTTTTTTCGTAAATACATACATATTATACATAGAAAATACCCAGACCGATACAAACAATCATACTCATGAATACAAATGTTTGTGCCGTGCGAGGAATCGAACCCGCGACCATCGGTCGTAAAGCGGTATGCTAGACCGCTAGACCACCGAGGTCGTCTATCAGATTACGGTACAGATTTCTCATTCCGTATATTGGAAGTACCTTTGATTAACCTGCATGTTATTGACGGCCTCGATGGTCTACCGGTTTAGCACAACGTTTCACATCTGATGATCGAGGGATAGATTCCTCGCACGATGCAAACATTTGTATTCAAGAGTATTATTATTTGTATCGGTGTGAATGTTTTCTATATATAATATGTACTATATATAACAAAAAATTTTATATACATTTCTTTTTGTAAATACATATCAGTATTTATATCAGTTGTCTTATACTAATAACACAAGCTCCGCTTAGCTTGGTATATTATAATAGTTATAGGACGAGGCTTAGCACTAAGATTTATTCAATACTTATTCGAGCTTAACTTAAAAATTTCGACATTTCGCTTCACAGCATATTGTTATTTTCCATTATATAATAACTATCACCTACAAGGAAAAGAAAAATTTCCGAATCCAACGTTAATAAAGTCATGTTCTTATTGTACTGTATTCAACCGGTTTGTATCGACTGGGCAAAATGCCGCACTCCCGCAAGTGTTACATCCGTAATACCACTCGTGTGTTACCATTCTGTAAAACTAAGATTGAATCCCTATTATCCTACAATTTCACAATCTTAACTTATCCTTCAACTCTAGCACAGCTTACAAAGCAAGATACCTAAACGGCTCTTTACATAGTCCACCTAGGTAAATTAGGTAATAGTCAAATAAGAACCCAAATTAAGCGATAAAGCCGTCCCTTGTAAAACATATTTTATACAAAGTGTTTTTTATGTCATTATTTTTAGATATTAGTAAAGAGTTTTATTATTATCTTTCCTCTTAATACACAATATTAATTTACATAAAAATTATTATATGCTCGGATCTTCGACAATCTATATATATATTACAAGTTCAATTTTCATTATTTACCTTTATGAAGCATTTTCAAAACGCAATCTATATATAAACATAACTTACTGCAATCTAAAGAAAGAAATAGCTGGATTTCATAAAATAGACACATTGTAGTGACTTCTCAAACAGGAAAACTGTAAGTAACAAAGATAACTATGTATACTGTTTAATTTCAATAGAGATTATTGCCCCGTATGTCGTTACGTTGTTCATTGTACTTAAAGAAACGGCAACCACAAAAATAATTCCACGTAGAGGAACTCAGCCCACATCCTGACCACTATTTGTTATTATTTTTAAATAACGAATTAAGAAAATTAAAAACTAAGTATAACTGATCATTCAATTTATATTTCTTTTTTTTTTGTCTTCTTTTGGCTCCGGCGTTTTATGTTTCTTTATTTTTAAATGATTTGAAAAAGGAATTTCTCATGTTGATTACATTTTTTTTTAATTATATGTATTCAATTTAGGACATATTTTGCCCGAATATTGATAGTTCAAATTTCATAAATTTGTTTCTATATTGAAGTCAAGAAAAAAAAGGAATTTATTTTTGGACTACTTTATGTTTTAGGTTCACTTTATTACTTCAAAAACTTATTAAACATTGTCACATAATTAATTTGAAGACATAATAATTTGAAGTTGTACCAGTGATGCAACACGATTAAAAGAAATACTTTATTAAGTAACTGTCTACTGTTTTTCATTACCACTGCAACTCATCCATCACAATAACTGTCTTTCCCATATTACGTAGGTAAATTACGTAATACGGTATGCTATTGTCCTGACCATAAAACAGAATAATGCTAATATAAAAAATTCTCAGTACTGGTTGTCATGTAAACTGATCATCAATAATATTATTCAGGATATGTTATGTGTCAAGCCTTCAGATTACAAATGACTCTTAATTTGCAACAAGCAGGTCTAAGTTAACCACTATGCCTGCTTGGACGATTATTCTATAGGTATAATTTTGGGTTTAGTTGATTTATTTTATTTTGTTACAAGTCATGTCAACAAAACTACCCAACCGCAGAAAAATGTCGATAGATACGGTAGTACTAATATTATATTTAATTAAAATTCTCGTCGTCAAAAACACGTCTATAACCTACTTCACTCATTGATTTAAGAAGTCTCAAACATGATTTAAAAGTAAATGTACTAAATTTTAACAACAATATTAGATACTTAATTAAAATTAAATAATAATACAAAAAATATAAAAATAGAAAATAATTAAACGATGACATTTTGTGACTGAACGTCACATCATATATCATCAGCATTGTCGACATTTTTGTCATAGCTTAGTTCGAGTTATAGGTCATTTATTTTTAGTTATATTATTATGTAGATACATTAGATTATGTTACAAATAACTGATTAGAAATAAGTATTCTTTTATATCTAATATTGACAAAGTATTTACCAGTGATTACAATTATTAATTGTTACGAATACATTCGAAATTCACATCATTCAATAACTTTTTCGTGTCCCTGAACACCTATTCAGCTAATAGCAAAATTTTAATAACATACATATAGTAGATTTTTTCCAGGGTGAACTAGTTACAGATTTATGTTAAATTCATAATGTTCACAATGTCAAATTGATTAACATGTATAAAGACGGAACTTGACATTCCAGTTTAATCAGTGACTCGGATCTTTCGTGTCCACGAATTACAGTATCATTATAATATTTCATTAGAATAACATGGCAAAATATATTAGTTTTACTTTAATTTTATTGACATCGTTGTGCTTTGTCTCTACATGGAAAATATTCCCGTTGGACAATCCAGATCCTATAAAAACGCCAGAGGCAGCTAAATCGCCATCTTCTTATACAACTTGGAAAGCAACATCTACAACAGTGTTGCCAGTTTTAAAAACTAATTTGGGATCAACTGAATCAGTAACTTCGAAATTTTCATTTAAATTGTTGGAGTCTGTATCACCTGACAAATCGAGGATATCAGCATCAGAAAATTCCATATCAGTTCCAGTCTCAACTGGGAATAGATTGGGAACAGTGACAAAGCCTTCAAGAGATCTTCAGCCACCAAAGGTAAGAGATTTGATTAATTAAAAATTCTATATTGTAACAGAATAAAAATTGTTAGTTTTATGCAGTGAAATAGATCATACGCCTATTTTAATTTAGATTTCTAACAATGTGATCTTGAAAGTATCATTTCCTTGCAGTATATTTTTGACAGATATTCTAATACCTATCTGCATATTGTATACGTATCATGACATATAAGAAAGCCAAAACAACAGTTCTGACTTCTGTTGCCCTAATGAATAAGAACAATAATAACCGCGGACATTTCTCACAATGCTAATTCCAAGCTACGTAGAAGCTCTGCTACGTGTGTTAGGTGTACTAGACAACTGATAAAAATACTTAAATATATTTTTGTAAATAGCTACATAACACCCAGACTAACACAAACAGTCATACTAATGATTACAATTATTTGCATCGTGCAAAGAATCGAACTTACGACCAACGGTAATAAAGCACTCCAATGTATATTTTGTACATTGTTATTAAAAAAAAAATATATGTGAATATAATATTTATGTACAAAATTTTTTTAGTTTACCTGCTATTCTTAATATACTAAAAACACTAAATAGAGTGTTATTATTTAATATAAAGACAAAATATTTGTGTAAAACACGCATAGTTGTGTTCCTGTTCCAAATGGTCTGTATGACATTATTCTGTCCGCGTTTGTTGCAGTCATAAAATAGGATCAAGCTAAGATACGACGTCCTACAAGCATATAATAATATAAACACAATTTAAATAAATCACTCTAACAACACTATGTAAGGAGCTTATGTAAGGATTTTACCACAATTGTTATCCACGCAACTGTTATTTCAATATTTCAGCATGTTAAACAAAAATACTACACCATTTTCATATAATGAGACAAACAATACGAAGCAATGGAGATTAATATAGAATTAATATAGTTTGGGCATGTATCACTAAATCATTATACATAACATCACATTTCTATATTACTCTAAGATATTTTCTCACATTCGTTGTAATGAGTAAATATTATAGTATCTTATTTTTTGTTTCAGGAGGATACGAGTGAAACACAAGGGAAAGGAATTTAGCAACATTATGTTTTATATGTGTATTTGCTTTGTGTAGTTTACAATGTATGTGTTTGAATTCATGACAACTGGTGATCTACTGATAGTAATGGAAAATTACTTTAAGATCTAATAATTATTTATTTATTGAAATAAATGAGGTGGCACTAGCACACAATTTTTTATTATTCCCGGAATTATTACGATTGCATTTTATTTGATTGTTAATAATGGAAGATATTGTTTTTCAAATTGTATTAAATCAAATTCTGGGTTTGATATGTATATTCTTCATATTTACCTGAATACAAAAATTATAAAAATAAATGAAGTAGATAGCGAATTAGAAGATTGTATATGTCATGGTGTATATCTGATATAAAATATAATAAAGGATAATCAAAGTGTATAACTTTAGCAATAAGTAAGTTATTAGGTATAACAAAACCTGTATTATAATATTAGGATGTGTTAAACAGTTTTAGAGGAAAACTACTGCTAAAAATGTATGGTATAAATAACAAATTTCCATGATATTTCAATTTTAAATCAATATTTAATTATAATATAAAATGTACGTAGGTACATATGATTCAGGATACGATTTAAGTTCATTTCTAAACTCAGACGTTAAAATAAATACCCTATTATAATCCCCAATATTAGACATTTTGTCTACAAAAAATTTGTTCAGTGTCGAATTTGTTTTAAAAAAACCTCTTCTGACATCTTGCGCATAGAAACATGTTTCCAGTACTACATAGAATCAGCCAAATCTATTTTGGAACTGATAATTACCTAGTTTATAAATAAACAAGCATAATAACAAAATTATAATTATTATATAACAGTAAGTCCATTAGGTGATAATAAACACTATAAGATCTTCACAAATATTACGTCATACCTATAGTTTGTATTCAAGGTACAGAAAAACCACCTCAACGTGGGGAAATACTTTGTTAAAGTAGTAATTAATTATCACAAACTACCTCAACAGATAAATTACCTCATTTTTCTTATAAACCTGAATTCATAATAATGATTTCTTACTAAGGTATACTTTGTATAAAGTCGTTTACATCACCTATTACAACAAGTGCCGAGTTAGGTTAACTCGGCACTTGCTGAAACTTTACTTTTGTGAACTGTATTGGTATGAGAGAAAAATTACAGAGCACCGAGGCATAATATTTTAAACTTTAGGAATGGTGTACGATCGTAATGATGACGTCACGTCCGGGGTGTTGTTCACGTATCACGGTTACAATGTACCATCAGTGTTAACTAAAATAGTATTTAATCAAATTAAATCGAAATATACTTATTAATGTTATTAATGTAGATCTATTCCAGACTCTTATGATATGTTATATCTAATGTCAGTTCGGAGTGCTTCGAGCTAAAAGAACTGACAAGAAACGCAGCTTTCTTCAAATGATTACAAAAATACAGTTTGATACACAAATTTTAGATCATAAACTACATTACACTATAGTATTTATAAGTGCAACTTTAATTGAATACGCCTCTGTAGATTAATGTAATTATGCGTAATATCTTCATGGAAAGATTTCCTATCAGTATGCCTTATTACAGTGCAGATACTATGAGTTACCACAACTAATTACATATGGTACTTAGTCAGAACCACTGACGTGTTTAGTTTACTTTAACAATATAAATCGGTAGTGCTGTTTAATCCCTCAGTTTTATACACTATATGAACACAAAATGATTACCTACTTATCAGTACGTAGGGCCTAAAATGATTTTTGGTTCATAATTTATAAAGAAAGAAATAATCTTAATATATGTCACTCGTCACTAAGATTATTTTATGATATTAAAGTTAACATGTCATTTCTTTATGTATATAATATATCTGACAACCCACCTCAAACCCATGAACAGCAATACAAACTATAATGACACCGTTCATGCGTTGTTATTCCGGAGAACAAAGATGGCTTACCTCTTACATTGTAAACTGACTTATATTTAATCAGACCACAGTTCACAAAACAAGTTTCTTACCGACACTGACAAATAGATGACACTGAAGTGTATGCAGACGATTTTTACAATTCGCATATTCGCTTGTTAATTTGTTAATATAAACTAAGACTAATGCACCGATTTAAAACATTCATAATTAATCATTTCTATTATATCCAAGAAATGAGCAAAATGTATCCTCATTCTGCATATTCTTTTTTTCTTAATATTTCTTTTTCCGTAAAAATTCTGTTTAATTTGAGGAAATTAATAAAATCTCTGCTCATATGCTTTACAAATGAAACCGGAGGAAAATTTAATATCTAAATTAATAAGTACTGACTGTTCTTTTATCAGTTCGTCAGTCATTTTCTGTTTATATACCTGACTTTAGATTGTATCATAATTATTAAATATACATATGTTTGACATTTATGTTTCTATACTTAAAATAACTTAGCTCAATGACAATATTTATAACTTTTATAAGGCTGTGATACACTTCCGAATACGTGTTCATAGCAACTATGATACTTACAAATTCAATTCTAATTGTAAACAGTAAAAACAGTAAGACTTATATGACATAATGAATTTAAATAAATTAATATTGCATTATTTTAAAATCATAATGTCATTCAATTCAATTTTTACGCAAATCAGTCGATAAACCAGAAAACTTATTTTAAACTATCTACTGTACTATTAGTATTGCTTTGCTTTCATATCATTGTTTGGGGCCAGCGCAGTATGTCATCTTCATCCACTAATCCCAATCAGCCTTACCTTCCTTTTAGGCATATAAGGTTTCACGCAGTCATCCTCTTCCTACTATATCAACTTTTCATATATTACATACAAAGTTATAAGAAGTACAATAAATAGCATTCATATATTATGTTGTTGGCTTTTAGTGGGCGATTTCCGTGTTTTATGGCGAGGTGTTTGAATCGTTTGCCGCCAGAATAATAAATAGATCCTGTTATTCTTCGGGAAATACTGTTTACGTAAGCTATTAAATATCAATATAGCTAAGCTACTGTATACGTAAGAAATAATAATACGATGTAATATTATCAGGCACTTGAATAACTGTAAATATTTAAATAATAATTTAGGATGGATCTTATACTATTTTTGTCGAAATGGCCGAACTAACCATGTGTTTATACAACATATTACAAATAATATATATAAATGCAATTAAAATTAAAATTAATCTTGTTGTACATAAAAGATGCTTAATGTACATAATACGAGTATGATCTGTGAAGAGGCTTAACAGATTTGGATGTCATTTTTACTACTGTAAACTTTATATAAAACCTTCTGTATATTTTATTCGAATCGGTTTACGGACAAAAAATTATGTCTCGGGCTCAGTTAATTCTGAATAAATTATCAAATAGTCACGATTTCAATAAAATATAAATAATCATTATGTATTTATATAGATTTTAGATAAGCTATACAGTTTTAACACGATTATAATCCTTTTACTACCATAACCAATTTATAATAATTATCAATTAAAACATAAGAGTTTAACAGATTAATTGTTTATACATGTTATTGTATTGTTAAACAGACACTTAATTTTTTACAATAATTATCCTGGTTTAATTAAAATAATCGTAATCTACTAGAGATTAAATTTTTAATAATTTTCAAATATGCTAGATTGATAACTTAAGCAAGGATTATAATATTGTGACCTTGTGTGTGTATTTCCGATTCAAACATGAGACAAAGCTTGTTTGCTTTTTCATAATATGTTATTCTAAATCTTCAAATTGTTGTTTATCAAACACATGCTTTGTCATTGTTTAATGTTTCGTTTATTTCATAATAAATATATAAATTTTTATAAAGCAATTACTAACTCATATTACCTTAAGCTGTGTTGTACTCGTATACTTATTATGAGTTTTCTCATAATACAGCACTGAGATGAATTGACAGCCTCCTCATTATTTGTACTATGTACCTAATATTTTATATATGCCGAAATGAGTCTGTATGTTTGTTAAACTTTCATATCCTAATCGTTACGAAATTTGGAATGTAGTTAGTAATATTAAAAATCTTTATTTCGCACAGAAAAATATTTACAAAAAATAACTTTACATAAATGTGCTAACAACCTTGAATTATTTCAGATGGAAAAAATTTTGACGTCGTTATTCTGGTCAAGTATATTCTAGATAAGAAGTAATAATTATTGACTAAAAAGTCTAGTAGTATTGATCATCTCCCATACACGAAATCTTATTATAATGTAGGGAGTAAATGATATTGAAGCAAAGCAACCACGCAAGCAAGTAAAGCAATCTAAGAGGCTATATAAGGATGTTTCGAACTTATTACAAAAACATTTGAGAGACGTACTTAGATATTTAGAAACGTCGATAACTATGAAGCATATAATTTTTCTTTTAATACTTGCGCAATATGTTTTCGCTAAAGAAACAGCATATTATGTAGCCCAGGGTGGCGATCTTTTCGATTTGATACGTGGTATTCCTCCAAAGGAAGGTGCTTTGAAGTTGAGCAAATTGGAGGGATATAGTAAAGATTCTCTGCCTGATGGAATATACTATATACCGCCTGATGATGAAGTTCTTGCATCAGAAGATACTCCACATCTATTAACATTAGATGTAAGTGGTTCATATTACAGTGATTAAAAAAATTAAATAGCATATTTTTACTTTTAGCCCAGTAAAAATTTCTTATTATAAATAAACTCTTTTTTATCTTTTAATTAATAAGTAGGTATTGTAAAAATATAAAAGTTACGTAGACTTAATTATAAATTTAACAATATTATTTCAACCCAGGTAAATGCGAAGAAACCGGTGGATAGCGACAAAAAACCAGTTCCAACGGCAGACGAGCACAATAATCATGATTCATAAAGGAGACCTTGAAATAATAATATCTTCTTTTTTATTGAAATATACTTGATATTGATTGAAATAAACAGTAATTATTAAACATGTTTTTAACATATTAAATGCCTAATTTATAAAGAATCCTGAAGATAGCTTAGAAATACAATATATAATAGATTGGAAAATTCACAATATTTTAAGTCTATTGAATGGACTTGAATAACTTGTACGATTGGATTGTATAGATTACTTAGTAATATAATACTGTTACTAATTATTTTCAACTGAGCTTTTCACAGTTACAATTTCGTACAACTTAACTTGTAACTGCCAGCTTTCAAATAAAAAAAACACAAACTCCCGATGAGTTTCGGATTGTTTCTAATTGATCGCAAATGTGATTTTTTAGTACCAGCATTACAAAATGTCACCGGACCATTATGGCCCCTGTGTAATTAAACCGATTAGCAGAAGTTTCCCTGCCCCAACATAAAATATTCATTAACATACCAGAAGATACAATATATACATATAATCATAATTTACATGATATCACAAGCGAATCCGTAAATACCATGCCAACTAATTTACATAATTTATCCAAGATTCATTTCTGTGGGGAAGACCTTAGCGTTTATTATGCCTTAATTTAATGTCACTTGATTCCGGAATATCCCAAATTGATATTACACTGTATTTGTTACTGACTTATTATTATCTAACAGTAGTCTGTTTTATCTACATTGAATCTCCGTAAGGAGGAACTTCGTTCGCATTTGGTAATTTTGATAACATTTAGAGTAAATGCAAAATCTTGACAATGTAAACACATATTTATTGAAAGGCTTTATTCCAAAAAAAATTCAATTATTCCTTCTTACCATCTTAACCTGTGTATCTGCTAGATATTATTTCCCGATGCCTTCTATCGAGTGTGATGTTCTGTTTTTCAGAGTCAGGAATAACTGCTATTTCTAGATACATACTAGAGATCAATTTTGGAGCCTTCTGTTAAGAAGACAGTGTTATATTTGACAGTCATTCGAATAGAATTCGAACTAGAATTTTCTTTAAGTGTATGTACTTAAAGAAAATTCTAGTCCTAACCTAACCTAACTCATATTAATAACGTATGGAAGAAAAACTTCTTCATATACAATATTTTAATTGTTCATGTATACAATTTCAGACGATGAGAGTTATGGAGATGGTTTTATTATTTAAGAACTAACTCGTTCTCAAATTATTGGTGTTATTTCATAGAGCGGCGTTTATAGACACTAGTAAACTGTATACAATAGCGAATTTTTTTGCTCATGTCTTGTCAGCGTTTCGATTGTACTGGTGATTTATGATGATAAATAAGATACATTGGAAAATCTATTTATTTTATAGGCAAATCGACTACGCCCAAATCATTTTTAACAAGACAACCGACAAAAAATATAACATTAATTTCAAACGTACTTTCTTGTACCTGCGTTAATTAAATATGCGAAGTCCCTAAAAACAAAAGGAGCTATAATGATGTCAATCATTTTTTAAAATCGTGATGTTATTGAATGAGCCGTGTATAAATAAAGCTCATTGGTTATTTCATTGAACATTCAATGTTAGACACGATGAGACTTGCTTCTGGAACAATGAAATTAGCTGTGATGTTCTTCATTTTATCAGTACATAATACAGTGAGTGGATTGATAGTGAATGGTACTGAAGATCGAGTTGTTTTAGTGTCACCAGTATTGGCAGCACCCAAAGATTCCAGAGCGAGAGGCGCGGATACAGAAACTGCAAAAGATTTCCCTATACTAATGCTGCTGGCTACTGGTGATAATATAACTAAAGAAGAGGAACCTAAAGGTGATCCTCAGCCTATTTATGTACAAGTAAGTATAAAACTTTAATGATAGAGATAAAGACTTAAATCACTTAGTACTGTACGTTATTGAGCGTTATGACCTAGACGTTAAAAATAATTTTACTCATATATACTAAAGATCGCGAATGACGCGAAAATATAATTTGCCCAAGAACAAAATACATCATTTAATTTTTTTATTGTCTCACAGTTACATATAGCAGACCAAATTAATCTGATAGACGGTGGTAAGATATCCCCTCCCTCGTTATATTCAAACCTACTCAGCAATATGTCAAGTGTTGAGTTCCCCACGGCATCAACAGTTGACAATTTCGACGACTGCATCTAAGAGTGCAGTCATGAAGTCGTAAATGTTTACAGAGGCATAAGAATCTTATATCTACTTCTTTATCATTTTCAGAAACTGGAAGATCAAAAGATTCAACAAAATCGGCGTAGAAGATTCTCGAAAATGCTAATAAATCTTACTTATTAATTAATACTATTAAAGAATATCGATATAAGTAATACAACATAATGGAATAATTATAATGCAGTTATAGATTGCCAGGACGGTTTTTGAAATAGTGACAATAGATGAAATGTAGTAAAACGTAATATCACATTAGTTTCACCACAATGTACCTAATCTTTTTTAAAATATACAAGTATAAATAAATTAGATATAATGTATTTTTTTATTTATGATACCGGACCACACGAAACTAAAGTAATATAAATACAATAGTATACAGAACAATGTCATTTGTATTCAATTAAACTTTTAATAATTAAAATCTTATTAATTTTATAAACATGAAAATTTGTAAGTAAGAATGGATAGATGGATATTCTTTTAATGAACCATGACAGACTTAGTACTAAATCGTCTACGCGGGTTGCTCTGTCTTGTCTATACCCGCCGCCAAGTAGTTTGCTTTAGGAACTGAATTTCGGTTGAAGAGTGAAATCTGGCAGCAAAATTACAAGATATAGGGATATAACATCTAATTCCTCCGGAGATACAACACATGATTTTCCCCTGACCAATACAAACGGGGATCGAAATTGCCTGAACCGAGGTTTGAACACCTAGCGGTGCCCTCGGACTAATGTCGTAAAGGCGGGAGTTGGCCTTTAGCTGCTCAATAGGCCCTTCCGCGGGTTTGAAGTGCCATCTATTGTACAGTGAAGCTGTGAAAGCCAGCGGTGGCCAACAGCATTAAAGTCAGAAAAAAAAGAAACGCATAGGGGAGCAAATGTGCCTTACGTAATGAACTGAATTTAGTTGCTTGCTGTTTATTGCCACAAATCATCAAAAAAGAAGAATAAAAATGTGTTTATTCAACTGGGCTCTCAGGTTGTTATTCCAGTTATATAAAAATTTCCTTTCTTAAACATATTAATAGACAAGTAATTTTATACACACACGCTATGACACTTGAAAACATTATGTAAGTAGGTATTTTAAAGCAATTAGAAAAATGTAGAAGATTGTTCAACTGATAATCTCTGCATTCATATAAAAGGTACAGAATTGGTTCCACTACACCATTTAGTTACAACAATCGTTTTGAAAATGAATATACCGTTGGTTGTGTCAATATTGTACATTATAGTTAATTTAACTGGTGATGTGGAATGTTTTCTTGAAAAGAAAGCACAGGACAGTAATATACACGTGAGTATAATTACTTTTTTTATAAAATATAAATAGTACCAATTTATATTCCTCTTACCCCTTCTATCATAGAAACAAAGATTTACTTTATAAATTGCGAGTGCCTCACATAAGCCAATACTATTTTCAGATTACAAATGGAAATGCTTTTGCACATCGATCAAAAAGGGAACTTCTAGGTTTGTATTATATTATACGAATATTCTCTCATCAAAATATTTTTTCATTCAGATTTACTAATATAGCTGGACAAACGTGAGACTTTGTGGGTATGAACGGATGGATGGATGTTTAAGTGTAACAAACATCCTTCACGCAAAACTACTGAAGGGATTTTGATGAAACTTTACAGGAAACTTATACAGCAGAATAACACATAAGCTATAAATTTGAAAATTACTAGCAGTGCCCGTGCTTTCATGGGCACTGCGAGTACTTTTCAAATTTATTCATTAATTAATATTGAAATTAAATTAAAATATCATCATTATTTTCAAACCAATAAGAGTGAAATTATAAAACTGCATATTTTCAGGTAATTCTATAATGAGCAGATCCGCAAGTGTACAAAGCCGCGACCCGACGATTATTGTGACACCAAATGGAGGTTGTATTATATAATGAAAAATAATTAATACAGTATGTTTCGAATTTCAAAATGTATAATCAATGAAATTGAATTTACTTCCAGGTGTACCAAGTGCATATAGAGGACTACCTTATTCAAATGTTCCGTACTCGAATACAGTAAACCGAGGACCAACTGTTGTTATACTTCCAGGTAATAAAATTCATTGAAAACTAGATTAAAAAATCTATATAACCAAAAATTTACGCTTATTGATGTAGTGTTTTTTATGAAAGTGGAAAAAGACAACCCACCCGATGGAATGTCACAACTCCCGTGTAAATGAACAGCTTCACTGACACCTGCAATACCCCTCATCATTTTAATAATCATATTTAATGAAGAATACTAATATAATACATATAAAATAATCTAATATTTACTGTTTGTTGCATACCATTCGCAAGACAACTTTGGCTCCATTTCTCAGTCATACTCAGTAAAAAAGACTCTCCTCAGTTCTCTCAAGGTGTAATGCCTTCAAACGCACTTAGGTTCATATAGTAAACTACTCGTCAGCAAATGTGGTAAATTATGTGTTTCCATCTTTAAAAAACCTAATGATCTATACAATTCTGTATAAAAACAAAATTGTAACTGGCAGCCTATAAATATGTGTATTGCCATGTCAGTAAAACATAATAAAAAAAGTTAAAATTCAGATTAACAGAGATTATCGAAATATTGCATTTTCGTTCAATAAAAATCATTTTAAATCTGTCAACTATATCTCAAATCCTCGTCCAGGCACACATGATCTATGAAAAGCGAGATCTGAGTATATATATTAGCCAAACTCTATTTGATTTAAATAACATTTTTTCAGAAGACAGCGGTATATCACGCGGTCCCTACTACGGAATACCTACAACCAACGTCAGAATCTGAAAGCATTCGAACATCAATAAAGAAAATAAATCTGTCGCAATTAAGTATATATATATTTAATGTGTACAGTATATTGGAATAAGCTTGACGAAGCCTATGTATAGATATAATTTGACGATATAAATAACAGATTAGGGCTATTTCATTATTTATTAAAATTTTGTGAGGTAATATGAAGATTATAATACTTAAGTATATATTATTTAATGAAAAATTAAATGAATAAGTACCTCTATTACATTTTGTGGTTTTATTATTAGACGCTAAATAATATTTAGTACAATGTATATATAAATATAAACATAATTCTTAGGACAAGTGGATTGCCATGGTGCCCTACAATTCCATTGCCACCTATCATGCTGAAACAAAGCAAGCAACGGTAGAAATGAGTGAGACAGAAATCTTCACTCTGATATCTATTTATAAAATGTACCTCAGTAAAATATTCCAGATTCACTAATTTCTCTGATTTTACTCGAAAACTGAAAAGAAGGTAGAGTTTGATTCAGTAGTCCTTTGTTTTACTTTGGTGTACGTTATTTATAGGTTCCCTAATTGTCAGACTCAATCGCAATAGACATTTCCGAGTATAAATACATATATAATATAAACATTAAAATTTGAAAACGACTACTTTTTATTTTATTTTAATTACATTTTAAAAAGTAATAACATAAAAGAAAATTTAATTTAAATTTAAATGTATTTAGTAATAGCATTGAAAGAGTATTATGTAGTAACACTATTGTAGTAGTTAGTTTTACTATTAAAAATTTTCTTTCCGTGTATTTAATTTGATTATCATCTGTTTGTCTTTAATAACAAGTCTGTGCATCTTTATCATGGCTCTGCAGCACCTAATTATAAGCAACGCCAAGCTAATAGGATAATAGCAGCTACAATGTATAGTATTGAACGTGAAAATTACTCGATAACTAAGAAAATATATATTTTTAATGACCCAGGACACACACAGCACCATCTAGTTCCAAATTAAGCAGGGCTTACTATGAATACTAAAGAATTTATATAATTAAATACATTTTGGAGACTTAATATATAAAACACCCAGACCAATACACATAAATACAAAATTAGGATCTTGGACCATCGGAACTAAGACGGTGTGCTAAATTATACGTCTTTTCACTTTTTTATTAATTTCTCATCATGGTATTGTTTTAATTGATAAGAAATTACATTTAAAAATAATTTCTAACTAAAATTTTTTAAATTTTATTCTAATTATATTTTATTTATAAATATTTTTACTACTTGACAATGTGTTTGTTTAAACAATACTTACAGCTTAAGAAAAAACCGCTACGGAATACTCGTAATACCTGTAAAACAGGCCAGCGTATGTAAAAGAAACAAAACAAAGTACGCCACAATAAGGTAGGTATGTGCTTGCAAATAAAACCTATCTTCATAATCTCTCACAAAAAAACAGAAGTTGTATTGCAAGCCCAAAGATATTAAGACCAGTATCCGGTTTAAGGGAATAACCAGACACTTACATAGGTACGTGCACGTATTTCGCAAATTGCGAGGCGTGTAGCTTCACGTTTCGCTCGACGAACTTCATTTACAACTTAATATTTGTTTTTTAACAATCAAGCAACTATACCAAAGGATGCGTAAAACCTTAATTGTTGATATGAGATTTATTCGTTTGTATCAACGATAACGTCATCGTGGGAAACGTGTGTTCTCAGAAGCGTCCTGCGACTAGCGACGAATAGTCAGTTCATGACGTTGTGTGGCTGCAGGAAAAAACTTGTATATATAGGTTTGGTTCGTGAGTCCTGTGGCAGTGTTCACAATGGGACCCAGTGGTGTGGTGGTGAGCGTGTTGGTGTTATTGACCGGGGGGGTCACGTGGGCGACACCGACTGTCGGTGACAACACCCTCGATGGCGGAGATAGGGTCGTCCTCGTCGCTCCAGTGCTCGCACCCCCAAAAGATTCCAGAAGTCATGCGACTCATGATCGGTCGAGGCAATTTCCTATTTTAGTTCTACTGGCCCAGGAACACCAGGAGAATATACGTCCGGAGCCGGCGGCGAAATCATTAGAGGGAAGCCCTCGGCCCATTTACGTACAGGTAAGAATCATTTAGTGAAAATATTGTCTAATAATACTTGATTTTACAAAATGTGGGTTGCAAATACTTGAAGTTTTTGGTCAGTGTTAAATGTAAACACGTATCTAAATATAGTTATGATTAATGATCGTGTTGATGTTCCTAAAAATTATACTTTTGTAGACAAGTTTAGGTAAACTAATAGAATATTTAACTATTATTCATTTCTATTTTACCTCTCACATTGAGAGAAATATTATTTTTTATGAAAACAAATGGGACGAACTATTTTAAAGGAAATAAAGAAATGTTTTATTTTGGTTTTATTAGCTCTTCTTTAATATCGCAATAAGTTACTTTATGGAACTTTTTGTCTTTATGATCGGTGTATTCTATTTTAATTCATGTGATATTCGAACTTCTTTATGTAATAGGTAAACATATTCGAGTTGACTAATTTATTATTTAAATTTTATTACTCCACTAAAAGCATTAGCATTGTAAACATGGGAAGTTCGTCACGATTTAAAAAAAGCAATGACAAGATCTGATTTTGGTAGTCAAATATATTATAAAAGCAATGATGCAAGATCATTTAGTCAATTTTGAAGTCTATTATTTATTATACTCAGAAATTAGTCGTATTTCTATTGAACGTTATGGTTCTCTTTTCAGAAACTGGAAGATCAAGAACCTCCGCAATATGGCCGCGTAAATAGACAAAAACGCCATTTACTAAAAAAGAAACTATTGGGCATTGGAGGCGGAATTGGATTCGGCGGTGGTTATGGCGGTGGTTATGGCGGCGGTTATGGCGGCGGGTATGGCGGCGGTGGATACGGCGGTCACGGAGGATATGGGGGAGGTCCCCAGAAGACAATCGTTATTGTTAAAGAATTAGGTAATAATTATAGTGATGGTCTATTATTTGTACTTAATCATAAATCAGAACGGTTCTATTTAGTCGCTAAATACTGTAGTACTAGTAGTATTAATAATAACAATATTTTTTTAATAATATGAAGAAGAAGAATTCTCTAGGTGATTGAGATTCGGTGTTACCATAATTCTACGATAAACAATAAAGCTTGCATTATTGTTCTCATTGAAGGGATAGAGAAACAAACTTACCTGAAACACGCCAAACCATGGTTATCTTCTAGATTAAATAGATACTGTATCATTATCTATGATAATTAATTCAAAAAAATAATTACTGTTATTAAATATCTGGAAATTTACTGTTCCGAGGGAGTAGATTAAAATCATTTATTAAATCTCTTCAAATAAAATTCTGTGACCAAAACGAATAAGAAATTGATGAGTATATAGAAAACATATTAATTTTTGATGATGATATTGTATAACTTTTATTTTTTATGTATTTTAGGTCATGGAGGCGGTCACGGTGGCGGCTATGGGGGCGGTGGCGGATTTGGCGGAGGCTACGGAGGTGGCGGCGGCTATGGCGGTGGTGGTGGTTATGGCGGCGGCGGCGGCTATGGCGGCGGTGGCGGATATGGCGGAGGTGGCAATTACTACCAACAACCAGCGTATCATGGCGGTGGCGGCTGTGGAGGAGGTTGCGGTGGTGGCGGATATGGCGGTAGCAGTGCCACAGCTACTGCCACTGCGACTGCTACTGCTACAGCGAATTCAGGGTCCTACGGGTGAGGTTTTTTTATACTATAAACTTCAGTCATATAAACAAAACAAGAACTTTATATCCTTAGGTATGTGTAAGATTAAATTACATAATTCTTCATCATTGCCTTGCATTTTTCAAATTATTCGGGATTGTTTAGCCTTCATATAAGTTCTGTCATGTCTAAAAGGTCCGTAAGGCGATAATAAAAAAATTGGTAATGTTTAAACAACCGTTACTCACGTGTTAGTATGAGAAAGTTAACTCCAATATAAATAAAATTTAAATCATAGACACAAATTTTAACCTACGTGAAGTTGATATTTACAATCAGTGATCTAATCAACAATTTTGAAATAAATTAGTTAATACTATAGTTACCTGGATATTCGCTGAATATGTATTGGTTATGATAAGCTTCATATAGACAGAAAATATACCTTATGTCTATTAAATATAGCTTTTAAATATTTATGTATATGTATTAAATTATTTCAATTTCTTAGTAAGACAGGATGACCTAGATATTATTTTGACCTAAAATGGATCCATTCGGCCTCAATGCTTCTTTTCCTTTTTACGTTATTTGTCGATTTCTATTATTACATATTTATTGTTTTATTAAGCGTCATAACAAATCCATTAACATGTTAGATGACATTTTTAAATATAGCTAATTATATTCTACTTTTTTTATTATATATATTTATACTCCCCTTCTTACCTTATATTTTTCATAAATTCTTTATTTTATAACTTATTTGTTACAGATATGGAAAACGTTAACTTCCGATTTGGATCAAGATAATGTGATTACTTTATCCAGCTGTGTAAATTATGTCATCTGTGATTTAATCGTGCACATATAGACAATGCGGATATGTACTAAATACCAAAATGGCTTTAACATTAATTAAAGCAAATGTGTTTATAGCGACTTATTATCAAGTTGTGTCTACTCTTATATTGCTCAAGTTCTGTTAGATTATCTTTATATTAATTTTTGATGTTGCGAATTTCTTTTTTAACTAAAAGTTTCCTATTATTTTTGCTAATTGTAATTGATATGCAATTGTAATATGTTATTAAATTGTAGAAGAGAGAAAGAAATATAAAACTTGATACGTTGTATTTTATTGTTGTGTTAACACCTCTACAAATAATCTTTATACATTTTTATGTAAATTAATAAACAAAAATATTTCAAGTTATTAATTAGTGCAATGGTGAATAAGGCGAATACCTAAATAAAATACTATTGTGTATTGAATTTTATAAGCAGGTATACATTTTAAATTACATTAAAATAGTATGTATTATTTAGTATATCTATAACAGACCGACTCTCATGGTCAATGATAAATTAAAAAATATACATATATCTATCTATTACAAATAATTTGTTTATTTATTTGTCATAAATATCCATCGACATACACCTACTACATAGTTATTAGTACGTACTAAATTGCAATATACATATATGCTTCATATGTTAATATATGCCTTACAAGACGAATAAAGCAAGAAAATACAATTTAGTAGATAGTGTAGAGTAGGTACGTGTATTTTATGTTAAAAAAAATCGCAGTTACCGAGTTCAACCTGTCATATCCCGACAAGTCTCCATGGAGAGCATATCCTTAACCATTCGGATATACATACAAATACCAATTTGAAATATGTTCACCAATTTTATGTCTAAAGATTTAACGAGATTTTTATATAAAATTTCTATCAAACATTATAGTTGGATTCTTAATATGCAAGTAAATAAATCCACCAACTCATAAGATAATTTACAATATAACCCATACCTAACTAATATTGATATCATTTAACTATGATCTCATCTGTAATTACACCTGATCGTTATGTTTTCTTATGATGAGACCAACAGAGAGTACCTACATATATTACATCAGGTTCTCGGTAAAAATGTAAACAACAGTGTAATAAATTATCTATTATAAGGTGTATGGAAAACCGCAAAGTATTTTATCAATAGTATTAAAGAATTAATTCACATGGTAATGCGAATTAATTCTTGCTAGATGATTCTAGACGCCAGAAACTATTTTATCAACCATTCTGATCATTTGATGAATGGCGATCCTCAATAATGCGGTTTTCTATTAACTTTTTACCACGCACAAGCACATTGTGGTATCACTTTCCAGCAATGATATTTCCGAACCGATACGATATTGAAACCTTCAAGAAAAGAGCTTCTTCTTAAAAGGCCGGCAACGCACTTGTGTTGCGGCTCCTCATGGGCGGCGGTAATCACTTACCATCATGTGAGCTGCAAGCACGTTTGTTCCCTGTGCTATAAAAAACTGATGTGATATGGACTTTCCAGAAAGGCATAATTTTAGGGAAAATTATGCCTTTCTGGAAAGTCCATATTGAATATAGATTACCCCTAAACCACGAATACCAAATAACAAAGAAATAGTCAAATCAAATCAAAATTACAATATGTTTATTAATGTAGGTCTATTACAGATTCTTATGATACGTCAAAAGTACCGTCAGTTTAGAGTGCTTTCGAACTGCGAAAAACTGACAAGAACATAGAAATGACATTAAAAAAACATTCAAACCAATAAAAACAATAACACTCATGAAACGGATTGGACTGGGCGAGTAATGTGAACCTGGCGAACCTGTGACCAGCAGAATAAATCAATATCCACATGTGCTAAACCGTTAAACTAATAAAGGCAAACAGTGAAATAGAAGCGCCTAGCTTATAACTACATATAAATATTAACCGGTATGCAATTTATTGCTATATAATATTATACAGGATTACTATAGATCTCAGCAGCAATAGAATATGCAGAACTCAGTAGAGCTATGTAAAATATAATAATTACATACTTGACCTAATATATTGAAATCTAATAGACATACTTAGATAAAGTGCATTTATTCAATTTAAGGACAGAAAGTCAAATTTGAAAGTTAATATCAAGTTGATTTTTCTTAGATAAATTACTGAGGACTACTCATACTTACATGTACTATTAATATTATAAGATCTATAGATCTGAATGTTTATTAAAATAGATAAACGTTTGTTACTTTTTCATGCAAAACTACTAGGGTGCGAAACGACTAAAATGGCCTTCATGAGTAAATGATTATTTGAATATGAATAAAATTTGGAATACATACATACATTGTTATATGGTAGTTAAATTAACAAATAAGATTCTTATTATACGAATTCACACATGCAACAGTGCGGGGTACAGAGGTAATGTGAAAAAAGGTTATCATAATTCTTGTCTAGACGGCTTACTACGTATACAATTAGAGATTTTAATGACCTACAATAACAGTCAGTGTGATAAACTACGGACTTGCGCACATGCTATAAGTACTTATAACTACTACGTCTCTCCTAAACACTTATTCAAGAATATTTTTCCTGTGATATGAATTGCAATCAAGTAAGTCTAAGCTAAGCTCGATGATAAAAGGCAACCGTCTATATATATTGTCATCAGGTATTGCCATATTAAGACGTCATGCTTCTGCCCTGCAATTAATACCAAGTAAAGGGAAGAGGATTGTACGTAATGTGGACTAATTATCGCATTGCAAGTAATATACCATATCAGGTTGACCTCCAACCGGTTTCGAAAACCATCGTGATAAATTCCTGGTAAATTTTCCACGATGGGATAACTGACCTGACCATTATCTTCCAATACCAAGTATCTACCAGTTACATGGCCATTTCTTATTAAACTAGCGCTGTTAGTTTATGCTAGGATGAAGATATATGGCTATGATGAGTAAATTAGAGTGCAATATTCCAGATTTCCACGATACGATATCTACGTATATTTGAAATTCCCGAATCTTATTCTCCTTTGTTTCGTTTCATTCTGATATTATTTCGTCTCCATAAATATCTGTTGCATCTTTAAAAAAACCTTTTAATAATACAACACGATAATAGATATGGGGGAGAGTAATATTTTAATAGGCATTAGGAGCTCTGGTTCTAGCAATATACCAAGTCAGGTAGACCAGTCAGGAAATTATCGTGTGATTCGCCACGATGAGCTAATTGACCATAATTCATGGTCATTCTATGATCCTCCACTGCCTCCCAAGCATATACCGTTAGTACAGGCCGGTGCAACATTCTATTATCATCCATTAAAAACACATATATACACGTCAAAACAAACATAGATTACGGCTTCGGCGAAAATATCGCTAACTGTAATTACTTACAGAGAAATAAATAAAAAATAAATCGATAAGCGCTTCTTTTTTCCTAACGGATAAAAATAAGTTCTACAATATTACGTAAAGTAAATATATTAGCTACTCATGTACGTTAATAGAAATATTCAAGATCCTTTATATTATTTTTTCTTTTGTACAATCGTGTCGTGGCGTAATATTTGAAGGCTCTTATTACTAGAAGAGCACAATACAAGCGCGGTAATGGTTTCTGACACCTACTACGTGTTTGGATAGACCACAATTATCTTAATTGGCGATCGTGACCTAAACCTCGCGCCGAAGATGATAAAAAAACGCAAAAAAAACGTGTTGAGTTATAATTGCAAAGCATCAATGTTCCTGTAGTGTTCCAATAAAAGATTGTCCATTTTTTTTCTAATTTCCATAAAAAAAATTATTCAAGCAATATTAAACTAACATTCTTGTATGCGATAACTTTATCGATATGGGTACAAAATTATACGTTCATAACAATTAACTGGAAAATGAGTTCAGTCATTTTCACAAATTGATAAATTGAATAGGAACAGTTGAATAAGTTGTATTGCTTACTCAATAACTGCATCCGGTTCATCTTTGGACTGCGTAAGTATCATCACTTATACACAGATATCACTTACAATTAAAATGGTTGAATGTTCGTACCTTTTTATTATCATTAATAATCCATCCAGTTCATCTCTGACTCCCATCTTAATCTTCGTTCGGACCATACAGAATAAATAAATTCTTCTTATATCTACCGGTTATATTAAATTAATGGAGCAAATATTTCAATACTCGTCGGCTTTGCAGTAGAAAAGCCGTATTTATTTATCTCAACATGTAAGAGGGGCAATTGGGCAAGCCACGTGATACAAACAATGTATTTAAATCGTTATCTCGAAGACATTAAGATTTATATGAAAAATTTCATTTAACGGAAACATTAATAGAATTTTTGTAAACAGTATACGTACTTATGTCAATCATATGTGATTTTACAGATACTTATACCTGTGTGAATCATTAAACCAATCCTATTGTAAATTGTGCCGTAGGAGACTGTATAAAGTTATCTGCTTCTTTATATCAGTTTGATGACAATTATTACGTACTATCAGGTGAACGATGAGATATTTTTTTATACTACTTGGTGGCAGGCATACGGCCCATCTGTTGGTAAATGGTTACCGTAGCCTATGGACGCCTAAAACACCAGGGGTGTCACGTGCGCGTTGCCGACCCTTAAGAAACCTTAATATACCCTTATTGAAGAAACCCATGTTGTAGTCTCGTGAGAAAACCTCGGCAGGAAGTTCATTCCACAACCTAAGTGTACGCGGGAGGAAGCTCCCCTGAAACCGCGCTGTTTGAGAGAGCTGTTCTATTACTATTACATAAAAGAAATACAATAAAATAAACCTTTAATATATACTTTATTGGAACAACGAAGAGGATTTTCTAAATTTAATGAAAACTACGATACAAATTTTTATTTTGATGATTTGGCAAATTAAAATAAACATTTAAAAATATATTTATTTTTTTTTATTAATATTAACGGAATGGCGCACCCGCCAGATCTAAAGGTTTAAGCTGACGGGTCACCAGTGGAGGAAGGAGGAAGCGGGATAAAATGAACACAAAGTCATGTCATTGTGGCAAATTCACCAGGAATCACGTTAGTTTTTTGTTATTAGTCCACATTACTAACAATCCCCTTCCCCCTACAAACAGTGTTAATATCTACTTAGATATTATTGCGACTTAGATCGATAATAAAAATAAATATATCGATAAAGAAGTTATCGCAAATCGAGAAATTGTTGAATTCATTGTAATAAATAAATACTATTGCCTTTTATTGCGACATAATT